AGTGCACTTTTTTTTTATCGCTGTTTTCACCCTTCCTTCAATTTCAGCTGCCATGAAATTATTCGGTTCCAACTTCAAAACAGTTCTAACATCATTGAGTGCCAAATCCAACTGATTCAAAGCCTCATAACATCTCGCTCTTTTCAATAGCGCCTTACTATACTTCGGAGCAACTTCAAGAGCCAAATTGCACTCATGGATTGCCCTTGGAAATTCATTAATGCCCAATTGCATATAACACGCAGCCATATTACTCCGAAGGTGGGACACATCGATATGGTTCCTTGGAAGCAACTTGATAGCTTTCTCATAATTTAACATAGCACCTTCATAATCCTTGCTTTGAAACAACTTATTCCCCTCATCCTTCACTTCCTGCGACATTAAGATGAACATTGTAGTGTCCTTATCGATCGCTTTTGGGCTATTCTCACTACCTCTACTTCGTCTCAGCTCAAATGATTTACTTCCCCACTCTATTTTGTTCTTCCCACTATTCTTCCCCATATTAAACTCAAGATTTCAAACTTCAGAAAAGTCTCTTAAAGTATAAACCTTTTATAACCAACCATTTTAACTGAATCAAATCCCAGGTCTAAAAATTGTGATTTCCAATTACAGGACTAAATAAATCAACATGTAATTAAACAAGAAATTGAAGAAAATTCACCAATCGAAACCCAGCTTATACACAGAACACCACCATAAAAATTCATATGCCAATATCGCTCTGAACCTTGGATTCACATTCAAATTACATGAGAATAGCTCCGAGGAAAAAAAACAAAAAAACAATCTTCACTCCTAAAAGCTCAAACAAAAACACCAAGAAATGAAGATTACCTAGAAAATTCCAAGATATTTACGTCCAAATCCCAATTCAGAGAGAAATGAAGATGAAGAAATATACCTTTCTTAGGCTGCAAGTGACCAAACCAATACTGCAGATTGTTTCTCTCTCTTTAAAGAACAGCAAGAATGTGAGAAAATGATAAAATAATTGATGACTTGCATGCAAAGATCCTGTCTTTATTAAAGAACCTTCAAAAAAGTATTCGGGATTTTTCTGGGAAAATCAAGAAAAAATGTTTCTTGTTTACTTTTGATAGGATTATCTGTTGAGAATATGGAAAGGGAAAACGAGAACCAGAAGATGTTTAACAACAATTTTGCAGCTTCACGTTAAAGCCACAAAACAATCAAATATTAAAGTAAAGATCATCGAATAATTTTTTTTCACGTAGGATTTTTCTTGACAATATTACCTGAATATCANCCAATTGAATAAAGCCAAAGCAGCCATCTCCTGGAACTTCTCTGCAGCTGTTGCAAAAAGGTCTTGTGCCTCGTCACTAGTGACTGTTTCTTCCATAGCTTCAGAATATAGCTTCACTCCAAGCTCATGCAGATCTATATAAGCATCTGTATCAAATCCGACATAGTTCTTGAATAGTTGAGCGAACTGAATGATCCAATCATTGATACAAACTGTCCCATTCTCGATTTCCTTTAGTTTTCTCACATTTCCATTTTCTGTAATGCTATCTTGTTTTTTGTCTAGTTTGCGCATGAGTTGTCCTGTTTTAACCTTTTCAAAAAACGGATCTTGATCTGGATTCACTTCAACAATATACAGCTTGATCGAACCACTTTCTACTGATGCTTCAGCCCACCTCAGTTCTTCAGTTGTCGTGATTGTGACCAAGTCACCTTCTTGATCTCTATACTTAACAAGAACAGCTTTTGAGCAAGGGTACCGATCAGAAATTATTTCCCTCAATTTCAAAATACTGCAGTTGACAGGAATCTGAGCCCATCTTATATCTTCTCCTAATACTAATTTCACCACTCTTTTAGGCCCCACCTCCATTGTGCTACTTCTTTTCTCTACCTCCACCACCACCTTGTCTTCAGCCTTCTTTTCTTCAACCTGATCTTTGAAATTCTTTAATGCAACTTCATCTTCAGCCTTCTTCACCTCAACTTTCTCCTTCAGTTTCTTTTCATCACTTTGATTCTCAGCCTCTTTTTCCTCATTTTTCTCCTCAATTTTCTTCTTTCCCACTTTGCTTTTCTT